GTACAGGTACTGAGGGGTGTGAGAAGCAGAGATTTTAGTGAGTGACTGATGGTCCCAAGATCCCTGTCAACTCTTGGAATCTAGGATTGCCTTTGCCACCCCAGTAGTGAATTAGGCATGGTGGTGTGTTTTCTTTCTTTTCTAATTAGTGATGTAAACTTGCCCTTTTGAAAAACAGCTATCGTTTATCGTGGGCCAAACTCTGTGCACTAAATACCTTTCTTTCATTATGTCATTTGACTGTTTAAGTGACCCTAGGGAACAGACGGTATCCCATTTTATACATAAGAATACAGGTTAATAACCTGCCCAAGGTCACACAGGTAGTTAGGATCCTGGCAGGGATGGGAAAAAAAATCCAGATCTTGTTACCTCCAAACCCAAGCTACCGTATATACTTTCTAAGGAACAACTTCACAAAATAGATACTCCCAAGTGTAAGGTAGGAGATTTGGGAAAAAAAATATTTAAAAAATAAAAGCGTTTATATAACATGTCATGTCTTTTTAAGGGTAGTATTTAGTTTCACAATGTTTGGGGACCTATTTGAAGAGGATTATTCCAGTGTGTCAAATAATCAGTGTGGAAAAGGGAAGAAATTAAAGACTAAAGCTTTGGAGCCACCTGCTCCTAGAGAATTCACCAATTTAAGTGGAATCAGAAATCAGGGTGGAACCTGTTACCTCAATTCCCTTCTTCAGACTCTTCATTTCACACCTGAATTCAGAGGTATGCTGTGTTACATACATTTGATCAGTAATAAGTACCATCATCTTTACATGTAATTGTGCAAAATCACAAAGAGGCAAAGTATCTTAAAGATGTATTGCACAGTATGTATTTATTGTTGCAAATGTAAGATATAAACTGGTAATTCTACAGAGAAATTTGAAGCTTAAATTATCTTAAATATATTGTATGGTTTCAATAATGTTTAGTAGCAAAATAAAAAAATAAGGTAATATATTTCTTTTCTAATTCCTTCAATTTAAGATACAACATAAAGACAATTCTGTCACAAGTATTAGCTTTCATTGTTGTTATACTGTTTGAATTTTTGTGCTTCAAAACTTCTCCAAAATAACAAACACTTAAGCCAGAGTTATCTGACAATTATTTCTGCCTTGTGGAGTGGGGAGGGCTGTCACATTACTAATAGGGGTCCATAAGTGTTCATCTGCATTTTCCTGAAATCTAAAAAGCTCTCACTCTGATCTGATCTGACCTGAACTTGTTTGCCTTTAGAACCTAACCTGATGTAAGGTTATTAAGTCTTTAGTTTTCTCACTTGGATGAATATTCATACATTCATTACAAGAATATTAATGTGCTTGATTAATGGATAGTCTGTCCCAGACCCTCCTGGAAATGGAATGAAGTGTACATAACCCTTTCTTTATATTACTTTTCTAAAATGTGTAAATTCTGAATTCCAAAGACCCAGGGATGTTTAGGTAAAGGATTATGTACAAGGAGCAGAAACTCACTCAAATTAGCTACATTAAAAAAGGGGTTCTTGTAAGAATATAGGAGAATCTCCCAGAGACCAATTACAAGAAGTGAGCTTGTAATTGGACTCTTGATTTCTTGCACCTGTTTTTCTCTATGTGTTTTTTCCTATTCCCCTTTCTGCAAACTGTTTTCATCTGCAAGAGTCTTAGTGTTTGTGTTTCCTTGATCTTAGTGTATTACTTTGCCTTCTCATGGCGCTGACTGGGGACCCTAGCACTACAGGGCTTTGTAGCCCAGCTCTCCACAGTGTCTCCATATTCTGTGGACAGACAACCTGACTGATCTGTGTCTGGTTTGCCATGTTTCCCCTTCCCACCACCGCCACCAAATTTATCAGATCTTTGTGATGTCTTCTGTTGCTTCTAAGCTTAGAAAGACTTCCTGCCTCCAGAGATTTAGTAAATATTTACCATTGTCCTCTTCCCAGGGCCATTCTAATGGATGGAACTGTATGTGGGATTTAAGAGTGGTGCCTCTTGTCCTTGACTCTATCCCCACCATAAAAATATCTTCCTGATGCAGTCAGTAATTCCACCATTAGAAATTTTCAGCATTAATAAGCAGATTCCTAAAAGGGTTCCAGGTTTTAACATAGTTAAAGGGCAACTTGAAGTAGAAAATTAGCCTCAGAGAGACTGAGGAAGAGGTGAGGCAGTGGAGCAGGTCATGGAGAGTGCCACTAGGCAAGAGTAGGGCAAGAGTCCCAGGCAGCTTCCTCTCCAGCAAAGGGAATCACTGGCCAAGCACGTGGTTTGACATCTTAGGGTGGAATGTGCTCTCCTTGTACAGCTTAGCATGAACCTTATGCTGATTGTTGAAGAGGTATAATTTGGAAAGAGTAAGGACTGGCAGAGAACTGGGGGAGAAAAATTTTAGAATAGATTTTAAGGAGTAGGGCTAGTACAATGGAGTAGGCCTGGTACAATGTAGCTGAGAGTAGTGGGGGGTGGCTACAAAAGTTCTTACATGGTTTTGTGTTTTAACTTGCAGTTCGTAGTTCACTACTGTATTTCCTAAGATTACCCACAGCTTTTGGGACCCACTGCCATAGGCAATGGGAAGCCACTAAAGATTTCTGATGTTAACGTTTTTGTTTTCTGTGCACAAACTAAAGATTATTTTCCTTCTGTAGATCCATACTGAGACTTTAGCATGCCACTTTATTTTCTTTATTTTTCAGTGGTTAAAAATGTTACAAGAAAATAGAATGTGTACAGTAAGGGTATAAATATTGCCACAATAATATTTCTGAATCTTTAATTGGTTTTACTTAGTGGTGGTCTTGGCTTTCTAAAACAATTTTATTAAATGAAATAATGTCATTTACACCTCTGATTCTACTTTTCTATTTAGAAGCTTTATTCTCTCTTGGTCCAGAAGAGCTTGGTTCATTCGAAGATAAAGATAAACCTGATGCAAAGGTATTAAATCTGTGATTTGCTGGGGTGTTTTGGAGTATTGAGGCAATGTTTTTTTTTTAAGGAAAGAATTAAGTTACTTATTCATAGAAAACAATAATCTTATTAAGTGCCAAATATAGTCTTTATTTTCAGAAAGTTCTTTGGCCTATACCCTATGGGTAATAGAATTTTCCTTCCAAAAAAATTAATTTTCCAAATATTAAACATAATACTGCCACTGCTTTATAAACATTTCCTTGCTCTCTACTATGGTTATTTTTTCTTTTGGTGAAGAAAATATTTGCACATCTTCCACACTAGCCTATCAAAAAAATCTATTTAAATCACTTATTTGCAACAATACCAAAATAAAAAAATAGAGATCAATATTCTTTCAATGTGGTACTCTGAAAATAAATTGGGTAAGAAATTATTTTGTTATTTTATATGTTACTATGATGAAATTTTATTTAAAGTGTAGATGTAATCGTGTTCCTCCCTGCTTAAAAATAATTCAGAAGTTTCTCATCACTTTCAGGTTCAAATCTATACTTAATAGTAGTCTTCCGTGATCCAGCCCAGTGCTTCTCAAACCGCCTGTGTGGCAAAGGACTAGTTTTTGTGTATTTTTTTTATTCCCAGTCTGTTGCAGATCAGTAGTTTTGTAGTATTTAATGAAAATGTCATAGGAATGTCAAATTGCCATCAAAGTTTCTAAATACTTAATTCTCCCTTTCAATCTCTAAAATCTGGCCTGCAGACCAGACTCTACTGGCCATTGCGCAGTCTGGCTCAGCCCTCACCACATCTGATAAGACAGGAACAGGTGTGGAGCCAGCAGAAGGTGAGGCAGGGGTGACTGGCCCTATAAAGGGTCAGAACTCCAGAGTGCCTGGAAAATTTCTTCAGAGGGAATATATGTGTATCTGAGATATTTGAGAGGAAGGATGGGCTATTAGAGATTCAAACTGTTGTCCGTAATCAATTGGGTGGTTTATTAGGGCCTATTTGAGCTTCAACATTAATTTCAACTGTGTCAAGGTAGAAAGCTCCAGATAAAAAAACTTTTTGGATTGAATTAGAATTTTTAAAGAATAACTGAATCACAATCAATTCCCCGTTTATGATAATGTATTTATAAACTTTCCCCTGAATGAACTAGGAGATATGTGAAAACTAGTATGCAGTTGTTTTCAAAAGCCTCGACCGACATTAAAAGAGTTCATTTAGAAATGTGTGTTTCTCATTCAGGTTCGAATCATACCTTTACAGTTACAGCGCCTGTTTGCTCAGCTTCTGCTCTTGGACCAGGAAGCTGCATCCACAGCAGACCTCACTGACAGCTTTGGGTGGACCAGCAATGAGGTACGAAGGTCAGCTTCTCTAAGGAAGAAATATTGCCAGCAATAGAGGAAAGAATAAATGCTGCTTTACTGTTATCTAACTTCCTTTAATTTTGTCTTAGGGTCTCAACGTATTGTTTGAATGTTTCCTTCTCACATTAAAAAATTGCAAACCAGAAATAATGTTTTGTAGGCACTTGCTATATACAGGATTTTATGAATGGCTGTGATTTGGGGTTGGGGAGAAGGTTGTGACTACAGGGAGACGTACAAGAGCGGATTTTTACAATTTCTACGCCAAGAATCTTTACATAGTCTAGTTGAGATACAACACCTATTACCTGGAAATTACTTACCATTTATAAAGCAAACCGCTGATCAGCTTTTTAGTCTTTGACTAACAATAATGGATAAAGTAAATGGTAACTAAATTTTAAATGTTCTGTCTGCCTGTGTGACAAGCTTCGTGTTTGAATCTGGGTAACGTTTGCTTTAGACAAAACCAGTGAAACCATTCTTTTCAGGTCTTTTCATTTTCCCTGTTCTGACTTTCTCCTGACTTGCTTCATTTTTTTTTCCTGTATCCTGTTGTGTGTGAGCTTTCTCTCACTTTCCTGTTTGAGTTCCTGAAAGGCATTCAACTATATACAAACACTACACACTTGTCAGCAATGAGTAAAGGTGCTTGTTGTCAATATTGATCAGCTGTTGGCTATACAAATTCAAGCGCATCCAGGTCTTCCATTTTTTATGGATTAGATGTATTCCTGCAAAGACAGGTATGGGCGACTGTCATAGAATTTAAAAAGGCAATGATAGGAATAATATTATATTGCCTTTAACAATAAAGTTTGAACAGTTGTCTTCTTCTAACCAGGAAGACTTTGTAAGTAGGCGATACTATGTGATTAAAGAGGTAGAGTGTGGACTTTAAAGTAAAATTGGGTAATAATACAGTCTTTAAACAGGTATGTTAAGTTTTGGATGTAGGGCTGGTACTTGGGGTTAATTCCTTTTTCCTTCCCTTTTAAAAAAATAACCACTTTTTTGAGATATAATTTACATGCCATAAAATTCATGCTTTGAAAGGGTACAGTGGGGTTTTTTTAGTATATTCACAGAGTTGTGCAACCATCACTCAATCACTTTTAGAACGTTTTCACCAGCCCAAAAAGAAACCCCATACCCATTAGCAGTCGCTCCCCATCCGCCTCCCCTCGGCCCCTGGCAACCACTGACCTCCTTTCTCTCACTATGGATCTGCCTATTCTAGACATTTCATAGGAGTGGAATCATACAACTTGTGATCTTTTGTAACTGACTTCATTCACTTAAGATAATGTTTTCAGGGCTCATTTATGTTATAGTATGTGTCAGTATTTCTTTCCTTTTTACTGACAAATAAGATTCTATTGGATGAATATGCCACATTGGTGTTTTTTTAAGCTAGTCATCAGTTGATGCATTTCCGTTTGTTTTTGATAATGAGTTTCCACTGACTTGCTGATTTCATACTTCTAAAAGCTGTGAAAACCTTTTTTATTTTATTTTTTATAAATAAAATCTTGCAGGAAACCCTGTAGGACTGGACCTGCAGTGGTGGGAGAAAATCTGTGAGGTACCTTTACCAAATGTAGGATTGTTGAGAACTTCCACAGGTTTTTTGTCCCATCAGAGCCAGTGATCCTGGAGAAATTTACATTCTTTAGTGTCTTACATTTTAAAAGACTAGACAGAGACCCCAAGTCCCACGTCTTGATCCAGCTTTCATCCACTTTATCTGCCACTCTTCACACTAAACTTATTTTTAAATAGTCTTTCCTCACTGCCTCTACTTCTATACCCTGCATTTGTTCCTCGGCCACCTTTCTGCTTCTCCTGTCCAAGTCAACAGTGACAACCATGTGCTGAGTCCAGAAGACATGTTCTGTCCTCAGCTGAAGGGGCTCTTGGTAGACCCACCACCCACCTTAAAGCCCAGGCTTCTCCTGGTTCTGGGGGGACCTCACTCTTCGGAATTTCCCCTCCTCTGCTTTTCCTCCTCTTCTCCACTCCTAAGTGTTGCTGTGCCCCCGGGCTTTGGGTTATAAATTGCTCTTAAGGAGAAGTTCACACGCAGGTCCATGACTCATGAATCAAAGCAAGTTCCATCAGGAGTTTTTCCTCAGTAGCGCTGTGTTAGTATTTGCCAGCTCTTAGACACCGCGCCTATTGTGTTCCTTCCTCCTCTCTCCTTTCTGTGGCGTGGCCACTTGTATGGTGTGGTTTTCCACAAGAATGAATACATTTTCTGGTAGTCAGGGGAGCTGAGTTCTATGTGCATGTTTTCATTTTCCAGTATCAATAAAAATAGGTGGCGAGCTCTTAACCTGCTCTTAGCTTATTTTGCATTAGTCATCCTTATCAAGGTTTATCTTTGGATTGCGTGATAAATCTTGTGTTTTGTTAACTAATATTTTTCTAAATGTTTTTGAAAATCTGAAGCAGAAGATCACATTTAAAAGTTATCTGTTTTATAGGAGATGAGGCAACATGATGTGCAGGAACTGAACCGAATTCTCTTCAGTGCTTTGGAAACTTCTTTAGTTGGAACCTCTGGCCATGACCTCATCAATCGTCTGTATCACGGAACTATCATTAACCAGATTGTTTGTAAAGAATGTAAGAACATCAGTGAGAAGCAGGTGAATATGCCAAAATATTTTAACAATAAATTATATCATAAATTATAATTCCTGTAATTAAACCTGTGAGCTGTAATACCACATGAGGATTAAAGTGTTTATTACTAGAAATAATTTATTGGGCCTTTTTCTTGTACCATACACCTAAATCACGAGTGTATAATACAAAGTTCTCCATGTAAGCCGACAGAAGCAAATATCTTGAAACTTCATCTTTTATTCTGTACTCTAGTATTTGGAAAACGGATTTGGGGGATGTTTACAAATAGAAGACTGTGGCCTTATGAGAGAAGCCAATGTCATTATGGTTAGAATATTGTCAAGAAAGTTAATTAGGGAGGTAATAAAAATAGAGAATACTGAGGAATGTTTAAATTGATAAACATCTGTAATTAAATATTGGATTTAGTTTATTACTTTCCTTTAGAAAGTTCATTTATATATGTGTACTTATGTTTATTCATTATATATAAACCATATATATTATATACAAAGCCATTATAAACCCATTTTAATTAATATATACTTCGTTCTTTGTAATGACATAGATTACCCTTTTAATCTAATTGGAAATTTGCTCACGCAAATATAAAAATCTCTGTTTACCCTACAAATCTCATACAGCCAGTGGTTTCATCAATGAGCAGTAATCCTTGAATAAAAAGGATATTGTGTCTATTTTTTAATTACTGTATGATTAACTTAGCTGTGATATAATAATGCACAAAGTAATTTTAAAACTATGTATATAAGGCATATTATAAATACATTAACTTTTCACATGTGTTACTTTTATTAAGCTTTCCACCATAAACTAATTAGTGCCCTGTTATTTTCCATTCCCCTTAATTCCTCAAAATAATGCTGTTGCACACACACAGAACTATAAATATGAGTTAAATTTTCTAAATTGTAATAGCATTTATTACTAGAAATATATTGTAATTTAAATGTAATTAGAGTAGAAAATTGATAGACTCCCTTTTTCCCTCCTCTTAATTTTCATAGAATACCTTCTTATCCTGGCTCAAAAGAATTCTTTTCTTATAACTTCTTCAATATATCTTAAACCAACTCTAGCAAAAGAATATGAAGATATGGAGTTTACATTAGAAAATTTAACCCTACCCATGCTATTATATTCTAGTGCAGAGACTAAAAACAGTACTATAAACCTTGTTTATACAGTTCTAAATTCAGATATGTGTTTTATTGTGGTTTATATGATTTTCTCATAAATAGGTTTTATTATATCTATAGTAAACTCCTAAATTTCTTCCTTTATACATTTTTTCCTAATATATTTTAGGCTAAATTATAGTTTGATTTAGAAGGAAGGATAATTTAATGACCACATTGCCTAATCAGGAGATCCACAACTTCATATGTACAGTGTTTTAGAAAAAATATATTTGATTATTCCCAATATATGTGTGAGCTGGTGATGTCATTGTAAACCTCTGTGAAATTGTTTGTTTTTTTCAACATTATATTCATGTATGTTTCAGGAAGACTTCTTAGATCTAACAGTAGCAGTCAAAAATGTATCTGGTTTGGAAGATGCACTCTGGAACATGTACGTAGAAGAGGAAGTTTTTGACTATGACAACTTGTACCACTGTGGAACTTGTGACAGGCTGGTTAAAGCAGCAAAGGTAAAAATAGATCCCTGACTTTTTCCAGGGTCCCCACTTAGTACACACTATGTACTTAGTGCTTATGAAAAAGGCTGGAGGAGATACTTGAAGCTCTTAACACTAAGATTGAAAAGACATTTACTTTATTATCTGTATGCATTTTTTACAATAAAGAATTTTTAAAAGCTTTCAACCCAACAGTTCTCTCAAATTCCTTCTCTCCCAGGAAAAATTATTTGTACCTCAATGTTTCATAAGTATACCTTTTTTGATAAACTCCCAATATGCTGCTTTTTGCAAATTACTGTTGTGTAAACGTATATTTTTTTATTCCTGCCAGCCGACAAGCTTGTTGAACTTTTCCTTCCTTTGTTTACTCCTGTGAAAATAGATGGCTCTCTTCATTTTCTTAATATGCAGTTATTTTATAGTCTTGACATATGTCCTTCCTCACTCTGGTATATCCAGTATTCCCTTTCCTCTTTCACCAGGTAGGAATACTTTACTTACTAAGTAAGCAACTTAACAGAGAATACTTATGGTTTTCTTTCTGTACAGCAAAGCAAAACACAAAATGAAAGGAAGGCAGGATTAAAGCAACTGATTTGTTTTACCATGTGAGAGCTAAGAGAATAGTAAAGCAAATCAATAAGCATAGAATTCTGATATTTCTCAAATTTATTCATCACATCTATCCATACGTGGCCATTCCTATAGATATAATTCATAGTTATTTTTGATTCCAGGAAAGAAGAGAAACTTCTCAAGAAGAGAAATAAGAGACAACTCCCATTTAGGTTAATGGAACACCTCCCCAATGTTACTTTCATGCTTGTAAATTTTGCACATTCCAGCTTCTTTATGATGTGGCATTGATTTATTATATCAGTACTTTGGCATTTCTGAAAATCTGCGACATATTAGTGTTTTATTCCAGTTTTGATGTAAGGTCTCCATGCTTTACTGGTTGAGCCCTTTGGATCCAGGATGTCTTTTGTTCTAAGAGAGTCTGGCATCTGAATAACTCTTTTTGGGGGACAGATTTTAGGAAAACATTTTGTAGAGTTTTCTTTTTTTACTTTATCTTCTAGCAACCACTCATTTATATTTCCTTTTCACCATTCTTTCACAATTCTATGTGATTTCTCACTATGAAATTGTTCTTTAATGTATTTTTCACATGGTTAATTTCCACCCAAAGCATTACCAATGCTAGTAAATTGCTAAATACTAGTAATCCATTAATATTAATGTAAAAATGATTATAATTTATAACTGTCTCTATGTCTATATATCTATAAATTATCAATGCTATTTCCCTTTCCTCTGGCTTGGATGCACTATCTCTAACCTCTCTGGCCTTCCTTCTCAGCTCCTTGTACCTATGGCCAATGTGGCATCAACCCTGATTCTGTCATTATCGTCTGCATCATTAGCTATCCCACTGCTGCTGGATAATATGCTATTCATAAACGTCATCAGCTTGAGCTCAGTTCAACCAGTGGTTACTGAGCATCATCTTAAACAGCTACCACAAAAGACATATTTATGCAGTTACTCCATTATGACGAAGAGTTAGCACTATTCCTATAGCTGGCAGTTACTGAGTTTTTCCAGCAAATAAAACAAGCATTGATTTAGCTAACACGTGATACTGATTTTGTATCCTGGAGATTATAGATGAAAATATAATGAAAACAGTAAACCCTATGTCTATAGTTTTCACAATAAGGTTTAAAGCCAGGGTGGAATTTTATACTGTTTAATATATATTTCCATCTAGCCTTTGCCTCTTTATGAAACCCAAAGAGAGATGTTTATCATTTGCTTATTTATTTTCTTTTTCAACTTTGTTGTTAAAACTACAGCCTAACAAATAAGTATAAACTTCAAAGTTTGGAAAAGTCTTAGATACTTATACATTCCTAGTTCTTGGTTAGACTTACTTTGCACATCAATGAAATAAAAACCTTTTACTAAACAAATGCAGTTCTTTATCTACCTTTTATTCCATTGTTTTAATTCTCTTTCAATGGAAGATTTTGATCTAGATACTTTTAAAATTGCATTCTATTCTAGTTGCATTGAATTTGTTGCATTCTAAGTTTAGTTTGGCTATGTTGCCTAAATAAATGCAGATTGTCTTGTCCTTAGCAGTCTCTTCTCAGCCACATGTAGTTGAGTTACTCAGTTTTTAAGATGAATTTTTAGAGCTTGTTTGAAAATCTACCATGTTGTTATTAATGTATTTCTTAGGGGTTCTTCGTTTACTTTTTTTTACTCACTAGATTTGTGTAACTATTATTTTAAATATATTTTTAGGGATGTTAGATATATATGATTATTGATAATTTTATACATAGGCGAAGGATTTTTTTTTCTCCTCACAGACCATTAATCCAAGAGGGTTGGGGACAACTGATGACTCTTAAACAAAAAATATCTTATGTGCTTTCGGATTAAAAACAGTGACTATAAAACCCCATTCAATAGATTTTAACCTTTGGGGAGTTAGAATCCTTTTGAAAGTCTAATGAAAGTTATGGATCTTCTCCCTAGAAAAATACATATGCACATAAAATTTTTTTATCATTTCGTGGGTTCAGGTCCTTTGAAATAGTTTCTTAGGTCCCAGGTTAAGAGCTCCAGTTCTTCACTAAATAAAAAGAACTGTGTATGGAGACATCAAGGAAAAGGCCAGGAATTTGGCAGGAAATGGACATGGTTAAAGAGGGAATATGCCCACGAAATAATATTTTAGGATATCAACACTAAAAACATAAAACAGGCTTGTTTTTTTTTTTTTTAGTTGTAAGCATAAATGAGCGATGCCACCTTCAGGCCCATAAAATAGATGAGTTTATATCAAGAGTTATGTTGAATCCATGGTAATGAGTTTATGTGATCTAAGGACCTATTTCTCTTAGAACTGTCATAGGTTGTTGGTTGTTTCTTCCTACCTCAAGGAACATTATGTATCCCTTTGTATAACTCTGTTTTTAAAAAAACTTTGTAAATTTTTCTTTTAACAGTCGGCCAAATTACGTAAGCTGCCTCCATTTCTTACTGTTTCATTGCTAAGATTTAATTTTGATTTCGTGAAATGTGAACGCTACAAAGAAACTAGCTGTTATACGTTCCCTCTCCGGATCAATCTCAAGCCTTTTTGTGAACAGGTTTGAACTATTTTATTTTTAAATTCTTTCTTTTCCCCTCCCAAGATTGAATCTTTTGTTTACCTAATTTTCAGTTGGGTTATTGCAGAATCTTTCAACCTTGGCACTATTAATATTTTAAGTTAAATTATTCTCTGTTGTGGGAGACTGCTCCAGGCATTGTAGTATATTAGTAGCATCCCGGGCCTCTGCCTACTAGATGACAGCAGCATCCACACTCCTCCTCCCCCAGGTGTGACAAACAAGAATGTCTTCAGACAAAGCCAAGGTCCATGTCCATGTCACCCAAAATCACCCCTGGTTGAGAACCACTGATTTATTTACAGTCCTTTTGACTTTCCAAAGTATGTATTTGTTCTCAGTTCTCTTTATTAAACTCTTCTTGAAAAATCTTTGAAATGAGAGTTTAAGAACAAAATTGGAAATGACCCTGCATTTAGAAAACTTGCCACACTAATTGGTACGTTGCTATTTGGATTTAGTTTATTTTAGATGAAATTATGAATTATGCATCTAGAAAGTGAAGAGGCAAATGGAACTATACTAGTCTAAAATTGTAATCCTTGAGACATAGGAAATAAAAAGTTTTGAAAACAAATTAATCACAAAATCAACTTGCTTTACAACCCATTTTTCAAATATTTTTTGTATCATTGCTATACATGCCACGATCAGAGTGATGAGAATGATTGTATTTCTTATCACAAATCATTTTTTGTATTAAGAACAGAATATTTATTAGCTAGGTATTGAATTTCTATGTAAAAAAGTAATATTTTTATAAATGTTCTTAAAATTCAAACTCTTCACACATGAGCCTTCTCTACTTCAAGCCTAACTACTGAGCTTTTTGGTTTTTGTTTTATTGTTTGAATTACCACTCAAAGGTTCTAATTTGTTGACGCTGAACCTGTTATTGGCATACCCAGAATAAATAATTTTCCCAGAGTTAGTTAATATACTTTCCCCTCCTTTTGTAAAAGATAGTTTGTCACATGATTTTAATATACTTTGATATAACAAAACTGAAATAAGTAAAGAAATAGAGCAGTTATCTAGGAAATCCACATTAATTTTACTTTTGGATTTCTGTGTTAATGGGATAAAATGTCACTTTGCATCTTTGTGTATACCTCTTCTGCCTGAACTAGACATGTTAAAATGTTTCACACTTTAGAAGTAT